TTGAGGCAGAGGTGGTGTAGTGGCAAGCAGCACCTTTACCACTCGCGCGGTCCTGGTTCAAATCCGGTCGACTACCGTCCAGGCCAACTAAGTCTTTTACCCGCCGGGGACCGTAAATTGGCACCAGATTTGTCTGGGAGGATAAGAGCACTGACTTGTACATCGGCTGACCCAAGAGAAGTCATTCTATAGGCCACATCGCCTTCAATAGGTCACTGCGATTCTGGATGGAAGTCGGATGCGTTTCGCATCCTAAGTAAAGAAATTATCAGCGACGCGAGACTTCAATTCCTTCAATAGATGCAGTAGTAGCGCCGGAAATTTCTCTTTGAGAGCTTGATAAAAATCTGTTTTATAGTAAATAACTCTGATTTGCGTCATGCTTGTGGTCAACTGGACTTTATCCTTTGTTGTTCTTACTATGCCCTTTCTATTCTTATTATGACATGTGGGAGTGAATTTTGCGGGATGAAATGAATGGTATAATTTTCAGTTCTCGAAGACATCGTACTTTCTTGATGACTGCAACGGGAAGAACGGCCTTTTACAGGCGACGATGCGGAATAAGAAGGTTGGCGTTTGTTTTCAGTAGACCCAACTTTTCTTCAAATTAGTCAATGGGAAAAGCGGGGAAGGCGGACGAGTCTATGAAAATGGTGCCGGCAGTTGGGGCCCTCTACGTATTTTTTTTGACTGAGCCAACACTTAATTTTTTCCAAGCTGCCTTCGCAACAAAATGAATAACGTCTCCAGTGGAGGGTAAAGCCGAGTACGAGAAGGCGCTACCACATGCATTCACCACCCTTCTAAATGTGAGTAGAACTTTTGTCAAGCATACTTCTTTTTTATACGATTCAATAATTCAGCTAGTATGTATTGATTTTGCTAATTATAGTTACAGAGCTCATTTGTGCAATCGTCCACAACCTGTGTCTTGTCTCGCTGACTATGCGTCTCTGCGGCTTTCGTGTCGCTGAATTTGTTTCGGCTAGACGGCTAGAATCAGCAAAGAGAGCTGTCGCTTTTTTGTGCATCAGTTGCCGCTAACCTTACGTTGCTTGAAGTGCTTTTTACGTGACAAGCTTACGGCTTTTGTCGCCTTAGATTTAGCTGCCCACTTGTTTTTTGTTGCTTTTGCCGACACAGCGCAGCAACCGCGACGCAATGGTCCGCGAGAGTGTCGCAGACTCAGACACAGCACGTTGCGTCGCGGTCGCTGCGTTACGTGTCACTGCTTGTCTTAGCTTCCTGGCCACTACGAGCTCCATACTCGTGAGGAGATGGCATTGATGGAGCCAAACTCTACCGAAGATCGGATTCATTGTCGTGTTATCCCTGAACACGTGCTATCAGCCGATCCTGAATATATTGAGGCAGTAAGTGGTGGTAGTGACATCAAAGTTGCACGATAGCTCACTCTACATACACTATACATTTCACATTTGATACACTTCTTATCCCTGAGACGGAGTAGGCGTGGCTTTTGAGCATGGCATGGTACGGGTCACTCGTAGGGTTACTTCAATTTGAAACAACTGACATCTTGGTTCTATGTTAGATGTGTTAGATGTAATGATTACGACTGTTCCAAAATGAAAATAGATCCTAACCCAAACCCGGGTCCGCCTGCCTTTTTTTAAAATTATGTAACGTTGCCACGCCTAACCTGAATCTGGGGGATTTTTGAATGTACTTGCATGATGGCCTTATAGACACATTTCGTTCGGCGGTCATCTGTTTTAATAGAATGCCCTTTCGCCATCGCCACGCCGAACAAGTGCGCTACGGGAAGTCGATGAAACATTCTGTTCACTCAAAGAAGTGTCCTTGAGGGTCGCTAACGCCTTCGGCATATTCGAGTCTAATGGCTGCTCCGTCCTGCTGGAAAAATGAGGACTGCCGTTTGAGGCATTTTTGTGGGCTTGTCGCAACTACTTTCTCTGCAGACCCACTGAAGCAGACATTTTAATTTCTATGCTGATCCCTGTTACCCAAGGACTTACAATCGCGGAATGTGTCTCAAAAAGCAAAACCTGGTTTCCGTGCACAACTCATAGTCGATATCGTAGCAAACAGTCGGAGCGGTGTTAGGAGAGGCAGAGTAAGCCCGCTTTCGGGCTGCCCTTATCCCTCCAAAGAAAAATCGCTTAGCAATCGGTTCATGACGAAAAAAACCAGTGGTAAAAACGACGTGGGTGGGCTTGCTCCATGCCTCGTGACATCGCCTCGAGAGATTCCGACGATAAACTGTATGCAGAAGATTAGGTGGACTGACTTTCGAGTGAATGTAAACTATGCAACGTATGTAGTCTCTAGGTTCTGGGAAACGTTTTCTAATTCCATAATGACTGTAATTCCGTGAGTCACATCGTAGCAGATGCTGGGACTCTCAACGCTGGGAGATTTACTTGACGGGTCACCAGAACTAAAGTTTTCACCCTACTTCCGTGAAACTTCTCTCCCCACTAGCTGGTCTGGAAATATAAGAAACTCTGGTCACATTGAGCTATTGCAGATTCATTTATAAGATCAAAGGAGCGGCGCGAGCCCATTTCCACCAATTGTTGCCGCTTGCCCTCTTCAACAGTTGGGGGAGAATAGGTGGGCGCCGCGCCAATTTCGATCTCCTTGTCACACACACCAGCATCCGCAGCGCACAAGACTGTAGCGATATATCCCTTCATCTAATCCCAGCAACTAAACCAGGATTGATTTCTTGACCCCAGTCGCACTCCGCGGAAGCCGCAAGACCTGCTCACAGCTTCAACGTCGCCAGGTCTTTCAAACAAAACTGCATCCAGATCTCTTAGGACTGTTCGTGCCATGTTCGAGAGGTGACTGGAACAGTAACTGCGGTAGTGGCCCACTTCACTAGTTGAAAGGTACGGAAACGGGGCTGGAGGGTAGTGGAATACGAGCGCTCTACCACACTCTTGGGCAGCGCCACCTCAAAGTTCAGCATTTTTCGATACCGAAGTGCAGCGAAACACGCATTCAGAAGTAGAGGACAGCCAAAATTGAGGGGGGAGAGGCAATTAGCGCGTTAAACCTTTGTCAGCCGTGTGGTTGGCCGTGCAGCAGCGCGGGGTATGGACACTGCATCCAAAAATCACCACTCTCCACTACTCTTCCTTGCACTTTTGACCTGAGAAAGTGATACGCTACTGCAACTGCGGACACATTCTACCCACAGACGACAAGTGGATTGCTAGCACAGCATATCCGAAAATTTCCTGGATCTGACTAAAAACTGACGCAAAATGGTAACTCAGCTTTTCCACATTTCGCCTTTTGATTCAGACTTATGGCTGATTTCAGATTTCTGTGTCCTAACCAGGGCACGCCATCGCGTTGTGATCATTTCTGAAAAATACGACTCCCCCTAATTCCATCCTCAAATACGACCCCCCCCAGCCCATGCTACCTACCACTTTCCTAGATTTTCCCAACTTCCTACCACTTCAGTTTTTCAGCCAAGAATGTTCCCTCAAGCGGGAGGAGGGGGAGGTCGTCAGAATTTAACTATCATTTTCATTTTCAACTATCGGAAATAGTAGTTGCATACTTCTTTGACAGTCTTTCTCCCAACAACGACCAACGACCCGAAACAGGAGAAATCAGCTGTCAAAAAATCTTCTCAAACCATATACGACCCCTACCCCTCCCTCGCGGTCAACACAACCCCCCCCCCCGTTGCTCATCACAACTCGATGGCAGTGCCTGGTCCTCAACTCGTGTTTGCCTCGTCTCTAAGAGGAGTTCAGACCATCCTCCAAAAAAGAACATCTCCCTACTAGCCACATCGTGTTTCCGGTGGATCCCTATTGTTCTCCCATTCCGTTCTGCCTTCACCCATGTTACTATGTAAAAAGATTTTCCCTCACCCACAACCCTTTTTTTCTGCCTACTATTTTGCATGCTCAGTTACTGTGTCGTCTTTGTGTCCTCGTATTGCGCTGTCGTGTCTTTCCTATCCGTCGTCATCACTTTCTTCAGAGCACTGGAATGGAGTGATCCCCGACTAGACCCGCGTCGACTAAAAAGGTTAGTTAAAGTTGCCTTTTTCAGATCAGCTCACATCAAGGTCGACCCGACCAGGGATGCGAAAATGTCATCATGCTCATCACTGACGGCGCTCCAAACGTCTACAAAGAGATTTTCGATCTCTACAATAAGGACAAAAAGGTTGGCATTTCCAAGTGTTTGCTGCTAAAGAGAATCAGAGTTGAGGGGATCAGACTTGGGAATCCTCTCCAGTTCTAGACCGTTTAGCTTACCGGTGGCTACGGTCGCTTTTCCATTAGCCGCTAGAGTTCCTTCTTTCAGAAACTTGAAGCACGTGCAGAGAGTTCCAGAAAATAGTAGGCAGAAAAAAGGGGTTATGGGTGAGGGGAAAACCTTTTTACATTGTCTGGGTAGAGTAGCAACAGATGGGTGAAGGCAGAACGGAAACGCGGGAACAATAGGGATCCACCGGGAACACGATGTTGCCAGTAGAATTAGAGACCTGGCAAACACACCGAGTTAGAACACAAAAACCTTTGCTGCAGGACCTCGGTATCAAAGGAAATGCTGAACTTTGAGGATGGCGCGGCTCTCGGGTACCACAACCCTCCAGCCCCTTCCCGTACCTTTTAAGTAGTGAAAGTGGGCAACTATTGCAGTTACAAAACCAATCGCCTCTCGAACACGGCACGAACAGTCTTAAGAGATCTGGATGCAGTTTGTCTTGAAGATCCTCGGGATGAGCGTGAGCAGGTCTTCTGGGCTTAGTGGGTGGATTGGTGTCAAAAATCAATTCTCGTAATTTACTGGGGTAAGGTATGAAGGATATGTCGCACAGTCTTGTTCGATGCTGAGGCGTAACAGGGAGGCCGAGTTTGGCGCGGCGCTCACCTATTCTGCTCCAACGGTTGAAGAGGGCAAGCGGCAACAATTGGTGGAAAAAGGGCTCGCGCCGCTCCTTCGATCTTATAAATGAATCTGCAATAGCTCAATGTGACCAGAGTTTCTTATATTTCCAGACCAGCTAGTGGCCAGAGCATTTCCAGACCAGCTAGTGGTTAGAGCATTTCCAGAACCAGCTAGTGGTTAGAGCATTTCCAGACGAACTAGTGGCCAGAGAAGTTTCACGGAAGTGGGTGAAAGCTTTAGTTCTGGTGGTCCGTCAAATAAATCCCCGAAGGTTAAGAGTCCCAGCATCTGCTACGATGTGGCTCACGGAATTACAGTCATTATGGAATCAAAAAATGTTTCCCAGAACCTAGAGACTACATGCGTTGCCTAGTCAGCATTCACTCGAAAGTCAGTCCACCTAATCTTCTGCATACAGTTTATCGTCGGAATCTCTCGAGGCGATGTCACGAGGCATGGAGCAAGCCCACCCACGTCGTTTTTACCACTGGTTTTTTTCGTCATGAACCGATCGCTAAGCGATTTTTTTGGAGGATAAGGGCAGCCGAAAGCGGGCTTACTCTGCCTCTCCTAACACCGCTCCGACTGTTTGCTACGATATCGACTATGAGTTGTGCACGGAAACCAGGTTTTGCTTTTTGAGACACATTCCGCGATTGTAAGCCCTGGGTAACAGGGATCAGACAAGAAAATTCAAATGCTGTTCGAGTGGTCTGCAGAGAAAAAGTAGGTGGAACAGCCAAAATGCCTCAAACACAGCCCTCATTTTTCAGCAGAAGAGAGCACTAGACAAATATGCGAAAGGTAGATCCTAAGAATAAGA